TGACTCCTGCCGGTAAACGAACGACCCATTACATTCGTGGATTTTTCCATCCATCGTCTCTGTATGGCGTTCTTTTTTCCAGTTTACCAATCGTATTTATCGAATGGAAGAACCACCATGTACAACCGATATTCCGTAAAATACCGATGCGAATTACAGATAACACATGTAGCACTTTACAACCCATGTTCATTACCATGACAACTATCGAAAAATCACTGAGCTGGACAAACGTATGCATGCTCAAGCGAGGGGCAGTAAAACGCGTTTCACAGAAACACAGGAATTTCTGTCAACTGAGTACAATGACTACACAATTCCCGAATCTTCTAGACACAACCGATAGACAAATGAAGCGGGGGCACGTGTCACTATCCCATCACCAGGGCGTTGGGTGTTCGAGTTCCATTACAGCACAACTTTCCCACCTACAATAGGCCGTTTGGACCTACCGGAAAACTGATGGTAAGCGGAAGTTTATATTTCACGTTCATTTTGTATATGTATGCATTTCCGTGTGCCGGTCGAATAACAATAGGTATGTAGAATGTTGAGAGAGCGGTGCCAGGATAAGGAGATGCAGAACGTAAATAACCAAGATGTGCTTAAATCTCGTTCAAAAATGCATCCATCGTTTGGATCATTTGATAGACCGCAAAGTCCTAACACGATAAAACTTGGGTATCCTTGAATTTCTTCTAACTATAGCGGCCTCGACAATTGTGTCACGCTGAGAATGCCAGTCCGTTGATGCATGTGTGACAAACGGTCTATGGCCAACGCAGTCAACGAAGATCAAGTAATTACGTCAGTGCTTGACCGCACAGAAGCGTGCAATGCGATGCTGTAGTACAACTCCCCCTACCCGTTACGGCCACGTCTCCGTATGACAAAATAGCACTGATCGCACTGTTGCAAAATACAATCGACCCTAAACAGATAACAGGATGTTAACATGACGCCAAAGGCCGTTCAGGTTGCCTAACCTGAATCGACTCGTTTGTATACCTTTGGAAACTTGTCCGGACATTCTTCCACTAGGTAGATGTGAGGTGGCCATCCAATCGGCAAAATTTCTCTCCCTTGTCTGATGCTTCCCTAATCGTGGTGTGATTGTCTAACCTCGTGTGAGGTAGACAAGAAAGAAAAATCACCTGCTAAGTTATGTTTTCCTTTTCTGTTCCATCCTTATGAGATATGATCAATATTTGACGAGTGATCCATTATGAAACATCGTCAGTAGATCAGAGAAAGCAATTTTCCTTCAGGCTAGTGGTTGGTCGTTAGTATTAGTTTTATGAACCAGTTATCGGCAAAACGATTTTGCCTCTGGGGCATAAAACAAATACAATACAAGTTGACGAGAAATTTAACAACAGTGCTTGTTCACTCGACGACAGCACGATTCCGAGTTGGAAACTGTTTGCGGGGAGAAGCGTGGATGCATCCAGAAGTAAACCGTTGTCTTGTCGACAATGCAAGTTTAAGGTGAATGCGAACCAAGCGTTTTCCTTTTACTTATCGCTAGTACTTTTGCAATGAGACAGTTGAATTGGGGTGGGGATTCAATAGGTTTTAATGTATTTCTCCTATGCGCTGAATGGATCGCACCGAGTGAGGGTTCACTTAATTTCCACATTTTGATGAACGTTGTCGAAGGTGAGTGCGAGAGGAGCAACAAGGACTACCGGGAATGGGATCAGTAGTGCGTGCGTACTATTTTTGTGACCACGGGCAGCTGAAGTACTTGAACCTCAACTACATGGTCCACATGGTCGACATTTAAGTGCATGGTTATATGGATTATTGAAAATACTTTAATCTTTATTCAATGCGTATTCACTTCGTGAGTTTCAATCATATTTCAAGGTTAGTGCCCATTCAATAGTCAGTGTTATTGAAGCGTGTTCGGAATTTACCTCGTCGCAATCGAGTCTTGATAGGCTGTGTGAGAAGCATCGGTGACTATTTACATTCTGCGTACGTGCGTACTTGAATAGTTTTATCTTTGCTGAGAGAACCTTCCTTGGCACTCAGATTGGTCATAGGAGAAGCACACTTGATATGCTCTGATCAGGGTCACCTACTGCAAAGGTTTGATTAAATATCTGTCTACAGACACATGAGAACCGAGAATGTTTGCCTTTTAGGGAAATCAAATAAACACGGTCAGTGAGCATGTTTTGCGTCAACTTCAGCATACGAGGACACAAATGAATGATAGTTATGGATACACATTCAGCGTGATCGTTACCTGTTCTACCGATTGAGCGCAATCCATAATGTGCGACGTCAATCCAAAGCATGATGTCGTAGGGGCGTGATATGCGCATGTCTTAGATGTCGATGACCATAAAAACTTAAACGCGCAGGATTGAAAGCCATACGAACAAAAGCTGTACATCCATCAAGAAATATTTATCATACTGTTATGAGATACTACTCACTAAGTAGTACATAACGTAGTTGGTGATTTCTTTCAGTGATCAAAAATATAACAAGACTATCAAGGGCCAAGTGATATGTTTGGAAGAATAACGATCGATTGCCCTATAAATTACCCTGTGTTGGAAAGAATTGCGATGGCACGTTTCTGATCAGGTTTTTGTCTTATACATGCCAAATTAGTGACGTCCCATATGTAATCCTCAATAAACGAGTATCCTCGACCAGCACCGCCTCGTGGAATTATAACAATACTACCAGTCACTCAGCTTAGAATCTCGGTCTTATTAGGGTTACCAAATAGACGACGAATAAGCTCATTTATTTAAGCAGCAACCTCTAGCCGGGTGAACAAATCTCAGATGTAGTGTCAAGATGCTTACGAACAGCTCGATTGGCGTTTGATAATTAAAAATAACTTTGTCACTACCTCCACATCCCGCTGTCTATTGGGAGTGGAGTGCGTGTTTCAGCAGCGTTATCGGTGCTATTTTGCGACCGTTGCAAATGGAAATTTCGTTGTTCACAGACCTCAGAAAGAGACCTATCCATGAGGTCTGACAGCGAAGATGTGTCCAAAGCATGTGCAGGTATTTTGACAAGTTGTGTGGAGAAGTAACCATTAAACAATTTCTTTAGGTTTCCCACAAAGCTCCCTGCAACGAATCTATGGTGATTTCACAGTACAAGTAAAAAGAATGGCAGTATGATACGTTTGCTTCCTCCTTGCGACTCTGCAAAACGTTTTATGGAACTCATTGTACAATTCTCCAAAGGTTAATTTTATTGACCTGAGTCGATGCATTGGATAGTGATAATCGATTATCCAATCCGAGACACACATACACACATATAGATAGACAGATAGCCACAGAGGAATGGTTCTACGGTTCTTCTCGTGATTTGCGAGCCTTACCCATAGTTTAACGGCAATCCGCTGTTCCGTAACCATGTTATACAAGGGTCTCTGAACTGTGGTGTTTGCCTCTTAGTCCATGGACTCGCCTGCACAGCTATCTGATGACCAGTTTAAACATGAGCACGGTACTTATGACCCACCATTAACCAAATGTGCACACAATGTGGGAATGACTAAATCAGCATATGGGAAGAATTCGCGGTATAGCAACTGGCACGATCGTCATTGTTGTAGAAAAAATGAGAGACCATTTGTGAAATTAACCACACAAACAAAGACACTCGCATATGCACAAAGGGAAGAAAGGGGCTGGAGGTAGGAGTGGGGCATCAGGGGGGGGATGGACAGGACGCAGAAGGAAATGAAAACAAATAATCATCAACCGCCCCATCCCCCTTTAGTGCCTAACTGAAAGTGGGAGTGGTCTCGTCGGGACCAGTAGTCTTAGACAGAAGTGAATGGGACACATATTAGATAGCTTGAAAAAGAGGGAATGCGAAGAGGCATGGAACGTGTTTGGAGCCACGGAGTATTTCAAATCCCTCTCCTGCATCCCATCTCGGTCAGAGGAACATCGCGACTGGGTATCCTGATACCGAGAAACTTCAAAAAGTGTTGTACTCAATCTCAAACAAACATAAGTAGACAAACGCACACACCCAAACACTCTCCCAGAAATCCTTGAACCAAACGCGAGAAGAAATGAGCACAGTAGCGACCTGCGCGCGCGCACATACATACACACAAAACCAAGAAAGACGTGTAAATGTATGCGTGTGTATGCGCGTGCCTGATCGTAGGGTTTTGATGAGTTTAACTCATTTCATTTCGATCACAGTTAGAAATGATGCAAGAGACAAAAAGAAGTGGACAATGGAAGGGACTTGGAGTGTGATAGCAAAACAGTTCCTATAAAACATCCAGTTTCAGGAACTGAAAGTTAACTGCCATTGATAGCGCTTCCCCGACCCTTGGCTGAGTCCAGACAAGCCGGACGCAATAGGTCTCCGTAGAGCCGTAGGAGACGATGCAACGCAACGGTCATTTGGCTTCCACCCGTCACCAGTACACAGTCCACAATGTGGGGATAAAGATCGATCACATGATGCCACGTGGATGGGTCCACTGAAACGGAAAAACAAGGTGCAAAATCAGAATAACAGGTGAAATCACCACCGGGCGAACAGACACATGACTCGTGTTTCGTTCAAATTTATTGAATTAGTGATAACTCACCGTCCCGTTGGGCACAGACCGATCGAAGTGAAGTGAGCATGACAGTCAACGCTTTGAACACGTAGGCAATTTCAGCCAAACGGGCTCTGGATAATGGTCGATAAGCGAGAGAAAACGAAGAGGAGAAGACAGGAGACAAACAAAAAGAGTGGATTGGAAAAATAATCAAGCGATTGGCGTGTTAGACAGGATCTACCTTTGGATGCATCAGCGGACTTGGTCCGTTCTGCATGCTGAGAATAATACTACCAATTGATCGTGACATTCATATAATCCACATCTTGTTACACAAATATAGTTCTGGGATTTATTCAAGTAATGACCTTTTTCATAACTCTGGGCATTGATAACCCAGTAACGGGGCACTGTCGGATGGCATCAACTGAGTTCCTCGCACCCCGTATATGTCGCGCTTGAGGAAAGTCGTTCAATTTTGCAACCACTGAGCAATTGGTTATCACTGTTAGCATAAAGGCGGGTGTATCACTCAAGATCAAATTGGCCGAAAAAGAACAAACGATACTATTTCTATATGATTTGTAAGTTATTATCTTCAGAGAGCCCGACGATCTAAGGTACCGGAATTGGAAGACTTAGAATTGGCAACAGGATTGGTTAGTAGTATAGAACAGATTTAATATAATCGATAACATAAATAAACTTAGGCTGTTCTTTTTTTACACACATTTGTGTGATGAACAGCAGACGGGGTGAACCCCATTGTCACGATGACCTGTTGTTCAGTGGTGGAGACCGGCAACGTAAGCCTCGGGACTTGGAGTAGCGACCTGATAGGTTAGACGTGGTATTGAACCGAACGACAGCAAAGCTGTCTACCACCAAAGTTGGGTGGCGGTGCTCGAATCTCGGACCGCAGGGTCCAAAGCACGCCGGTGACAACGACTAAACCAGTGGTAGTGGTAGTGGCCATAACGGGCTCATAACACATTTCATTTAATATGCTAACGGAGACTCTTCAAACAGCAGCAGACGGCACAGTTCGGTTTACGTCACGGATACGCGAACAGTGAGCAGTAGACAGACTACACTCATTGTGACAAGCACTTCATACACTGGTGGGATTATAAGTTGAAACGCGTCAGTCACATGAAGCGGTAAGAACTGCGATCCGGTTTCTTCTTCTTACATAAGAGTGAATACAGTAGAAGGAGGCAAACCCCATAATCCCAGGATAGACTGTACATGGGATCGTGAAGGGAACACGCAGGCTAGAACCAGATTGTCGATTCTACGTTTAAAGATAAGGCGACTGTGGAGGGAAGATCGGAATGGAAAGTTAGAAATGCAACACTTGGGGATAGTCACTTGGAATGGGTGACTAGCCGCTTGTGTACAGGACCTAGTGGGACGAACATGAGGAGTAAGTTCAGTAGAACAAAATTCAAAGTAGTATCGGTAGCATAAGTTGAGGAAGCTACTGCAACTTACATGCTACGAGCGGATCAACGATGAGGAGAATGGCCTTACGCTGAACCCGATCAAGAAGAGCCAGAGGGGTAGGCGAAGCTCAACTTTACGCAAAAGTGTAGTATTCAAGTATACAGTGAATCTCGGTTTTGTAAAGCAAACGAAAGTGAATGCCGGCGACGAAACATTTAGCGCGGGAGAAGAAGTCGTTTTTGCGAGCAGAGCGAAATGCAAGTGGAAAAATATACAGTAACCAAAAAGGGAAAGAAGATTATGAAAGTCCTAATAGGTTGCATAAATCTATGGAAGAGAAAAGTTTGAGTTAAAATTCAACGAGGAGCAGAAAGAGGCATTTATGGGAGAAATGAACATATGGAAATTATTATTGGTATTCAAGAGAACAACGTTACGACAGTTCAAAGCAGAAATTAGGGTCAAAATCAGAATGAAGGGAGAAACCGAGTGAGCAGCAGTCATTGCTAGAGCTGGAGTTAGGTGCGTGAAGATACACAGGACAAAGAAGAGTGTAGTGCAGCATCATCGGCAAAGTCATGACTATGATTGAAGTCGAAGAAAGAAGGTCATAAATGAACACCAGAAAAAGTGAAGGGAGAGAGCAGAACCTTGGGGGACATCAGCATTCAAAAGTACGGAACGAAACATAATTCCATCAACTGGAACGGAGATGCTGCTGATCTTGAGATCGGTTGCTGTCCAAGACACAAGTCAAGTCAAGAGTGCACTTTATTCATCCAATGTGGACAGAATTTCCAGTGAAAAGAATGTTATCACTTTTGCTTTGGCATACGCACTATTAAAAATGAGCTTAAAGATATGACAAATAGTTACTGAGATGATAATGAATCGAATATCGAGAACGCGTAAAAAAATAAAGAAAATTTCAAGGTGAAAATCACATTGGACTGTGTATAAGTTCGTTTGATATTCGCTCCCTAGAAACCAACAAACGTGAAAGGTAAGGTACAACAGGGTTATGAAAAGAAGTGGTACAAGCATTTAAATGTTTTAATTTATTGCGGGTTACAGAAGTTGAAATGGAGCTAGATAGGGCTGTATGTAAGAGATGTGACGCATCGGGCAAGAAGGAGTCACTCAGACGATCACACGCAATCAGGTGTTGATTGACAATGGAATCAACCAGCTCCTCATAAGATACAGCTCCATATCTAGGGATGCTTTTCAGAGAGTGTCTAATTATTATGAAATCCTTAGACAGCAGACCTGGAAAGATAACGGGAGAGTAGGTCCAATGGCATAAGACGCATGAGAAAATAAATTTGGAGATGATATACAATGGCACCGTCAGATGCCGAAGGCGCGAAATATAAAAGGTCAACTTTCTGACTTTAAGAAATGTTTGTTATACGTGATCAGCATATCGGGAACAGATGATCCAGAGAGAGCTGATGGCCTACGGTCAACGGAAAACAAAACTTCGATGAATTAATTTGGGGTTTAAAGAAAGGTTAACACCATGGAACCATTCAGAAATGGAACTTATGGCTGATTGAAGGGTTGTTGTTGTGAGATGCACCGGCATATTTAAAAGTGAAAACATTTGGGGTGACTGGCAAATGTTGGATATAAAAGGAGAGGAGAAAAGGGGATAAAATTGCACCCTGCATTACACCCTGGTTTACAGTAACAGTAGAAGACCTAATACCATTGAGACAAGTGAATTGGTGTCGGTCCGTAAAATAGTCGAGCATCCAATTCAAAAGATGTGGCGGGAAAGTATGTCACCGTAACAGTGTCAATAGGATGTTTCTATCGACAGAGTTAAACGCGTTTGTGTAGTCCAAGAAACAAACGTGAACAATTTTGTCTTTTTGGACCACAGTAGATAAAACAGTATGTATAAGACAAGCAACCGCATCTAAAGTAGAGCGACGCTTACAATAAGCAAACTGATAGGAATCCCGAATATCAAGAACAGAGGATAGGTGCTTAATAATAATACGCTCAAAAGTCTTAAGCAATACTGAATATGAAACGATAGGCCGAAACTTACTCTTTTCTTCCTTAGATACTGGAGTGATGCGCACATCACGCCATGTGTTGACTAGTCTTCCTTCTGATAGATATGTATAAAAGATAAATGAAACGACTTGTGCGGTGTTTGCACATGTTTTAAGGACCACTGAGGATAACCCGTCAGGACCAGCGGATTTATTTCCATTGACAGCATTTAACTCCTTTAAAACTTGCTCTGTTGTGACAGACACAGGAAGGTAGAAATCAAGTGACGTTGTGTTTGGACTCGGTAAAGCTTGCACAACGTTTTTCACTGAAGCAAAAGATTTGTGGAGCTGATTGATTTCACATGAGACTGTAGTAGGTAAGGTTGAACGACCACAGAGCAACTTCAGTCCGTTCCATAGCTGATGGCAGGATTCGTCTCCTAGCACGATGTCAGCATACAACTGATTGAGATGGGCCATCTCGCTTCTGATGTGAAAGTTGACAGATTTGACCATCAGTTTATCTCTCGAGCGATACGCCCCTTCTTTCAGCGTTCGTCACCATTTCAATCTATTGAAGATGAAGCGCTTGGGCTGTAGGTGAGTCCTTACTTGGGGGCAGCACACATCATAACAACAGTTGAGGTAATTGGTAAGGTTCTCAAAGAAAACTGAAATATCCAGGTCGAAGAGTTGTTGTAAGTCCGTACAGCCAACCGTGGATTTTACCTCCATAAAATTGGTCAGATGATTTTGTCGTAAACGTATCTTACGTACATCGTTCTTCATCAGGATTTATTGCTTGCATTCACCATATATTGTAGGTAAAACTTTAATCAGACAATGATCGGAATTGCCTACTGGTGCACGTTTGAAGGCACAGAAAAAAGATGGTTCGTTAACGAAAAAGTGGTCCAACGAGGCATCATTTCGAGTGGAAAAGTAACAATGTTCTGAAGGGACATAAGTGTGTAAAAACTCACATCAGTTCTGATGAAATCGCCAGCAACGATGAATACAGATGTGACAGATTTCTCCAACATGATTGGATAGAATACATCCAGGAAGGTCGACAACTCACTAGGAGTACAGTCAGGATTGATGTACAGGTTTGAAAAGATGATTGAAGAGTGACACAGGAGAAAATGTGGTTTACATTCTACAGAAATACTAGAAATGTTTCGTGTGCAGTGAGTGAATATGCATTTGGTGGAGTTACACCACGACCGGCGCACATAAGTGATGACCCCTCCACTTTTAGTTTTCCTTCCTGGATGTGTATCTGCTCGAAATAATTGGAAGCCTTCAATCTGAACCAATTCGTCCTCGACGGATTCTTGTAACCAAGATTCTTGGAAAAGTAGCACACAACTTTTTGAGTACTCTCTGTAGTGAATCAGAACACCGACGTCCGATAGCTCAGGAAGAATTGAGCAGACATTCGACGACAAAATGATCGGAAAACCAATGCTCCTCAGGTTTCGGTGCTCAAGTGCAACTTTCCAGCCAGCGCGATGCTTTTTCCGTTTGTCATGTGAATTCCTGGTGATTCTTTTAGCCTTATTTCTCACAAAACGAGAAAAAGCACGTAAGGACGGTTCGTTGATATATTCCACGGATACTCGTACGGAAATAAAACTGAGCGCGTTGTAGGTTATCATTGAGGTCGCCGTAATGGATACAAAAGAATATACAGAGGTTGTATGTGATGCAAAAACCAAAGCCCCAGCGATAACAAAAAATTACACGGCCAATTTCAAAGGCCCCGCCAGTAGTGTTCAGAAACAAAGCCCAAATTGGGTAGTTTAGCTAGGAGACCTGCGTACCAGACATGATCGAAGGCCTTCGATGTGGCGAGCGACACCATATGGGTTTCTTCATGGTTGCCGAGTGCCACTGACCATGTATGCGAAATGAGCGCCATAAGATCACCGGTAGATCAATGGGACCCGACACCCTACTAACGGTTGTTAAGCCTCATTTTCTGTTCCAAGTGGGTATGGAGTTGATCAGCAATGGCTCATTCTATACCCTTTTAAATAACTGATGTGAGAGAGATGGTGTAGTGGTTGTCTGGATGTTAGTGGTGGTCGCATTTGGGGATGGGAAATATTTCTGATATTCCCCTAGGGTTGGAAATACCTAGGGAAACGAGAGATGGGGAGAATAAGCCGTGTACGAGGGGGAGGGGAGGGAGTTTGGGGGAGGGTGCACATTTTGAGGACGATGGGAAAAATCCCTTCGGGTCCAGGTTCAGTTCAGTTCAGTTTTTACAACCAAGTGGCTTGGGTGGGTCCAGTTAGGAGAGGATCTAACGTCTTTCTGGTGGAAATGAGGTATGTGAAAAGATGGTTCGCTGTAGGGTATGTGGAGAGTTGGAGGAATGATCGGGGTAGGGCAGAATTAGAAGCAAAATGAGAGGCAAATAATTAAGTTTTTTCAAGCCAGCAAACGGTTTAACAATGGATGGGAACTTAGTGGAATAGAAGTTACCGAAAATTGTCTTAGCAAGTGACCAGAGCGTCCAGATTGCAGGAGTGAATGGTAACTGTGCTGCATTGAGCTCAACGAAATGCTCCTTAGCCTTCAGTAAGATGCTTGTGTAGTTGTTGTGTTTGCAAGAACCATTGGTGGGATCGGGGGGATGTAAACAACGCCAGCGAAGGAATGCTGATATTTTTTACGAACAAAGTGATAACAGGCATAGTTACACCATTCTTAGAGAAAGAGGCTTGCCGAGTTGAGTGAATTGAGGAATAATTAGGTGCATGGTTTGCAAGAGAACTTTGGAAATTTTCGACTCTGAGATGTAGACATTGGCAGGTAAGCTACGTCCATCCCGGGGTAGGAAGCCAGGAAGTTACGAAGTTACATTATAAAGTGGAGCCGCATCGCCAGAATGTGCCTCTGAAATTGGGAGAAACAGTGGTACAAAAACTTGGGTAGAAAGCGAAATAAGTTGATGGTCCTCTGGGCCCAGGGGAGGAACTGTGAAAAAAAAGTGTGAGGACAAGATGGAGGCTATGAGCGTGGTCGTCAGCATGGTAGGAGAATAAACCAATTAAGGTAGGTTTTTCAACAGGACAAATGATGCTGTTTCACATCCAAAGGGGAGATATCCCTGTGCAACAGCTATTCCCTGTTATGGACGTGAAAATCACTCCAAATTGTGAACTGATCTTTGGAGTCTGTTTCAACGATGTTCTCAATGTTTGCCGATAAAATATCAGAGTGAAGAGTCACTACTATTAGGGGAACGGCATGCAGTGCAGTAGTGATTGAAAGAAGTTTCTGCTACATAGTCTGAAACTCGCCGTGGATGAGACTGAAGTGTGAGAACGCGGTAGCAGAAACTGAATGACGGATAAGAGCACAAACACCAGCTTTGGGGATGATTGAGGTGAGGAGAGAATAATTGGGAAACTGAAGATGGGTGGTGACCGTAGAACAAAGTTGTGTTTCGGATAAAAACAAAGCAAAAGGGGAAATGGACTGAAGAAATTGATGTACAGAATCAATATTGCGGTCCCATCCGCGAATTTTAATTGTGAGATTGCCGAATGAAAGTGCGCTTGAGTAGTGATCCTGTTAGTTGTAATGTACATAGTAAGATGAGAGTTAGGCGGAGCTTGGAGTGGAGAGCCACATCAGTTCCCAATGGCTAAGCGGTGCTACTGAACCGGACGACGGCCGAACCGTCTGCCACCGGCATGGTCTGAA